TCCTAGGGCTGCTTCGTTACGTTGTAACCAGATAAGTCACCTTTTGTCTGGAACTTTCTTCTACAGCACCGACGACACCACGACCTAGTACCCCAGTGGGACAAGCTTGCGGTGCAACCAATGCTAATGGGTGATTTTATTAGCTGTAAGCCTACTTTCAGTGCTATTCTCATGTCGTTTTCTTGTCATCTCTCTTGTCTTCTCATTACTCCAGTCTTATGCGATTTGACACATACTTATCATATACATGGAAGGTGGAAAGCTGTACTGATGATTCCCATTCCTATCCGAATACTACGTTCGGTGTATGTGTTTACAGCTAAGAGGTGAAACATAGAATACATTCTAACATGCCTTCTTGCATCTGATACTCAATTTGACCTCTTATCTCCCATCCTAACATTTCTTTTATACGCTGTCATACTCTTCTTTCATCCCTTGATTTTCCTGTTCAGTTCACATCTTCATAAAGCATCATTATATACATATATCATAATAATTTACCCAGCGCTGGTCATTGTTTGGATGCGTTGATCATTGCCGTGATGTGATATTTTTGAATCGAAATGTGTGTTGTTTTCAGGTAACAGAAGTGGAATTAAAGGGTGAGAATAAGCAACGATGGTACACATTCTGTGAGCATTTTAGGGAAGAAATAAAAGACTATAATTTGGGGACGATTATGAGGATAGGCGCTGATGGTGCGTACACCGAAACAAATACAATCATCGTCCCAAAGGTTTCTTTTTTCCCTCAATTTTGGTCGTCAAATATTCTCTTCTTAACTGAATTCTCCCTTTCATTTCCCCCTCCCCTTTCATTAAAAGCTTTTTCGGGACTTCGGTCGCTCCGTATTTTCCACGGCTTGGACTGGCTGTTGTTTCAGAAGAGCGCAAAATCAAAGAACAATTAAGGGGATAAAATTGAATCATAAATTTTCAATTCTTTCAGATCATATATTTGGCGATCGAGATTGCCCGGAACAAAGAAGGTCTCAACGAAAGACATAAGGAAAGTTTCAAGATCGAGCACGAGAAAATTAGCCGTGAAGGAGGCAATATATGCTAGTTAAATGATCCCTTGGCTTGATACCATCGCTTCTGCTGCTTTTGCTCACTTTTTTTTGTATGATAATTGTTGTCATCGCAAGCTGCTGTATTTCTTTTTTTTTTTTGAAAACGATTTGTTTTTCAAATAATCCAAAAAATTTTCACTTCATCAATAATAATATTGCAAAAAAATGGGGGCTTTTTTTTTACTTTCTTTTTCCTTTTTTCCCGCTTTTTACATTGTTCTCTGAAAATGATGAGTCCATTCTGTGCTTGCTTAGTAGTATTTTTAAAGGTGCGTGCTTTTTGCCGGGTTTTTTTTCCCAAAAAGGTAAAGTTGCCTACTATTACTCGAAAGGGTAAAGTTGCTTGCTACTTACTACTAATTGAAAGGTATTTTGAAGTAGGAAGAAGAATAGAAGAGAAAATAATAATATTAAGAAATTAGTAAAATTAGTAAAACTACTTTAATAATATCATTCCTTTCCGGCACTGCATATCAGACACAGTTAAAAGTCAAAATTTTTACTGTATTAACTCTTGATGAAAGGCAGAGACACTCGAGAAATAGCTTCCAGTGTTAGCAAATGCCAATAGCAACCACACGCTGGCAAGGCTTTCGATGGCTCCCTCTTTCAAGGATTGCTTAGAAGCAAGCTGATGGCTAATAATGTGATTTCTTGTGGCACATGCCAGTA